TATGATATAAATATCTTTACTTTGGCTTCCTACGAAAATCACTTTCTTTGATGTAGCATCCTTAATAAGGCATTTGAAATAATCGAATTTTATACTATAACATGTATCACATAATTGACTAACACTTAGTAAATTATGTTAGAGGTTATCAACTAGTAAAACAATTTCAATATAGAAAGAAGAGTAATTACCGATGTTTTCAATGCCGGTAATTTTACCTTTGGTATTGTCTCGAAAGGTTACGTGACCTCCATCCTTCTTTTTGAAGTTTGATAGCAACGATCGATCTCTGGTCGTGTGCTTCGAAAAACTGCTATTCAAGAACCATTTACTTCTTGTTTCTTTGGTACCTACAAAAGCAATTCACAGTTTGATTTTTGGTACCTATATAAGCTTGGGTCCTTGGTAGTTAGTTTTAGCGACTCTTAGATCCACTTATACTTGTTTTCGAAATATAGCTTCTTTTTAGCTAGGCAATTAAAGACTACATGTCCATTTTTATTACAAAAACTACATGTAGTGTTTGAAGCTTTAACAAACATAATTTGAGAAATTTTTGTTTTAAAGAGGGTTTATATCCAATACCCCTTTTATTAAAAACGCATTTTTGATTACTAAGCATTAAATTAAAATTTTTCTTTTCCTCGATAAATTTATGAATTATTTTCGTTAAATCTCCACTCTTTCTTTTAAAGAAATGTTTTCCATAACTAATAAACCATGATCAACATTTTCTTTTCGTTTTTTCAAAATTTTCTTTATTTCATCTTTTAACAAAGAAATCTTCTTTTTAAGGATGGAATGACTCAAGGCAAATTTTCAAAATTTTCAAGCATTTCATCATATGAATTTGATAACTCACCATAAGAGCATTTTTTATTCAAGCTTACCTCATCTTCAATCGTCTTGAAGCACATATTGGCAACTTCATCTCTGCTATCGTTCTTATTTTGATCCTCATCTCTATTATCTCATATAGTTTGGAGTGCCTTTTTCTTGAAATTTTCTTTTTGTTTGGGCAATTTGTTCTTTTATCATCGAGCTTATCACAATCGTAGTAAACAATTTTCTTGTTTCTTTCTTCTCCCTTATCCTCATTCTTTTGAAATCTTCAATTGTTACGAAGACCTCTCCATTTCTTCGCCCTTATCGTCAAACTCTTCAGCGCTCATGTTTTCATTTGGTGTTCCTTCTTCAATTGTTGATTTTAAGGCAATTTGTCACTCATGAGACTTATTTGATTCTTCTTTGCTTTTTCTTATTTTCTCATTGACCTTGGCATTGTTGAGTTTATAGGTCATTAATGTACCGTAAAGTTCCTCCAAATGATATGTATTTATATCCTTGGTATTCTCAATCAACATCCTTAATGAGCTTCATTCTTCCGATAGGGAACTTAGCACTTTTCTAATAAGTCACCTTTAGTGAATTTTCGATCAAAACTTTAAGGCCATTTACAATATTGGCAAAATGTGTAATCATATTAACAAAAGGTTCATCTTGTTTCCTAAAAATTAAAAAAAAAAAAAATCAAATTCTTTAACTAACAAATTTATTTTTGTTTCTTCAACTTTGCTTGTGCAACATGAGTGACTTTAAATGCATGCCAAATATTATATGCCAACTTAAATGTACTGATCCGATTAAATTCATTTCTATCTAATGCACAATAAAGTAAATTCTTAGCTTTGGCATTTATCGATAATTTTCTCTTATCTTCTTCATCATATTTCTCTCTAGACTTAGGAATAGTTTGATCCAGTCTCCCATCTATTTTAATGGTCTTGGGAGGCACATAAGGACCATATTCAATAACTTTCCAAATATTATAATCAATTGATTGAATATATATCATTATTCTAGTTTTCCAATAATTATAGTATGGGTCATCAAAGAAGGGAGGTCGATTTGTGGAGTGCCATTCAAGATTTTGAAACACTTGGTTAGCCATTACTCAAGATTGTAAAATCTTTTGAAAGTGAGTACCGTGCTCTGATACCAATTGAAAGCCAAGAACGACTAACTAAGGGGGTGAATTGATTATCTAAATATTTTTCAAAAAATAAATACAAATTTCAGCAATTGGCAAATAAAATAATATGCAAGCTAGATAACACAAGAAAATAATAAGTAGAATGAAATAGAAGGCGCAAATGATGTAATTATGGAGGTTTGATCTAAACAACATCTACGTCCCCCGTTACCAAACACTCCGTTACCAGCAATGCCTTTTTTCATTTTAATTGATTGACTTATGGCACAATCCAACCCTTACAATGCTTACAGGGACTTACAACCAAGAAGCACTGATCCTTTTATAACGTTGAGGTTTATGGGACCTCAACACAACCCACAATCAAAACAAAAAAAAAATATTACAAGTGAAAGTTCTCTTAATAAATAATATGAACACAATTAAGTATCAAGAGAGAAAGTAACACTTCAATAAATTGCAAAGAGTATAGCTCAAGTATTGGTTGAAAAACTTTGATCGAGATAAAAGATTTTTGCAAGTTTTGATCATTAAAAAAGTTTTTCAAGAATTAAATAATTTGATATCCTAAATATTGAAAAATAAGATAGAAACTATCAATAAATGCCTTACTTAAATGTTCAAAAAAAAGTTGTTGCAAATGTGCAAGAACAGGTGGTATTATAGCTCTTAAACGGTCAAAAATCTGTCAATCTAAATGCGGGATTCGGATTGGTAAACTAGCCATTTGAAAGAAGGTTAAAAAGGCGATCGTTGGAGGTTCGTCCAGACAAACTGGATGGGCAGAATTTCACCCTCCAGACTTTTTCCTTTGTGATGAATTTTCTCTATTTAGGTACTTGAAGTATTTTGTATAGATGAGTGTGTAATTAAACCCTAAAAGAAATAAAATAAAATTCGAATTCGATATAAATAATAAACTCAATTTTTATTATCAGACAATAGCACAAAAGCTTGTTCTATAAAATTTTGCAACCGTATGAAATTGTTGACAACTAATAGACTTGATTGGAAGACAGGAAATAAATTCTAATTCAAGTTTATTAGTTATGTATGAAATTCGAAATATGTAACATAAAAGAGATTTTTTATTTGATTTATGCTAAATTATTTTTAAAAAGCTATAAAATTAGAGTACATCAAAGATGATATTAGATTTCGAATTCGCCAACTACTATTTATTTCAATTCATGATTTGTAATCTATTCATATCGTTCTTAACCATCGATAAAGCTAATATATTTAATTTTCCTTTCCAAACTAAATTAATTTATTTTAATTACAACCCATATCTATTCCTAACTCAAATTCAAATGATTAAAATACATTAATTTTCACATTATCTATATGATTGCACACATGACAAATGTTATTCTAATATCTATTGTACATAGATTAATTTTGCTGCGTTCTAAACTTATTGTGAGTCTCCAACGCTAATAAGCAACTAACATCTAATTGGTAATCAAGAAATTAAATTATGTAATGGGTATGCAAAATTAATCAAGAAATGTAAGAAATATTAAACTATTCGTCTTGAATTAAAACAAATAAACAATTAGATCATCTTCATCCTATACAAAAGGATCTAGCCTAACGTTATTTTATATAAATTACAAGAAAAAATGGAAAAATATCACCTCGGATCATCAAAGAATGTAAGAAATCTCGTTCTTCAATTTCAAGGTTGATTTCTTCGAAATCACGATGTAATTAGCTTTCAGTTCTTGTTAGGGTTTGATTTCTCTCTCAAAAGTAATGAATTTTCCACCTTTTCTTAATGAATTTTATGATATAATTGTGTATTTAAATGTTAAGAGTTCCCAATGTTTTGTATTTATAGAAGCCCAAAAATCAAGCCAAACACAACCGAATTCCAATTAGATTAAAAATTTGCAAAGAATCAGAATTGCACAGTAGGCCCATTGAATTTTCCCTAATGTCCCTTCCACATATGAGCTGGTGCAGTCGCCCAAGCAACTGAAAACGGCTCTCTGTTAAGTGTGTCTCAAGCCCGTAGCCGCCATACCGGCTTTTTCCCTTGATTTTGTCACGCTTGCGTCATTCAACTTTCTGGATTATTTTGTTTTGGTCCCCATAATTGTATAATGCGTTTCTTGTATCTTTTTAGATTTGATTTTGATCCTTCAACTTTTTATTGGCTTCAATTGGACCAAAACATTTTTCAATCATTGATATTGGATTTGAACTAACTATTAAAAACTTATAATTTTATCCCCAAACTTTGGATTAAGCCTATTTCCCCCGTTTTATTTTACCAAACATAATTAACACATAATCAAGTTATAATTCATTCAAATCAATCACAAATATCCTAGTTTAATAGTCTGAAAGGGTGTTTGTTTCTCATTTTTGTAAAAATGAGAACGAAAAATATAGTCGTTATGGGCTCACATAAAAGATAAAAATTCAAATTTGATGGTTTGATATGACGGATAATGGATAATATTTTTCATTTTAATGAGAAAAAATGGAAAACAAATAGGGGTTGAATGAGTGTACAAAATCAACTTATCATATATCAAGTACAAAATGAGAAATTTAGGGCCTGTTCTCTTTGTGTTTCGGTTTTGTGTTTTGAGTTTTGAAATCATTTTGAGTTTTGTGTTTTGAGTGCCTGTTTTGAAATTACTGAAAATACGTTTTCTTTGTCATTTTGGAAAACTGTTTCTGAAAACATAAAACTGAAAAACGCGTTTACTTTGAAATTTTGAGAAATTTTTTTAAATAATATTTTATTCAAAAAATCTGATTATTCAACAAATGTGAATAGTTTAATGCTAATATAATATTAAATATAGTATTAGTTGAACTTTATGTAATTAATTCATGTTAGCCGAATTTTATTTCCATTTTAAACTAGTAACCAACTTCAATTTTAGCCCAACAATTTACTTTAAGCTTTCCCGAATATGCACTCTTTCAAAATAATTCACTTGTTTACCAGAAGACAACATTTAACACAGTTCAAATCATGAGAAAGCACTAGAATAATTCAAAATCCTGAATACGAATAATTCAATAGATATTTTTCGAAGTTTATGTGTCATTACAAAACAAGTAGACACTAACAAAATATAAACTACATCCACGAAATCATATACGACGTCTTGAATAGTCATTCCACATTTGTGTAGCAATTTGATCCCTAACTTGTCCCATTTGAGCTGTTTGACTAGCATCAAAATTTATGACTTCTTGATCTTGACTTGACTCCGGGATATCTTGAAACACCATATTCTCCTCCGAATACTGTACGAACAACTTATCTAAAGCGTGCTCCTGACGAATAAAGTTGTTTATTGCGCAACATGCAGTAAGAATTTGTCTTTGCCTACTAAGTTGATAGTTGGTAATCAACTTCAAAATAGAAAATCTTACCTTTAAAACTCCAATGCAACGTTCAATAATGTTACGGCACGATGAATGTCTATAGTTGAACAATTCTTCCTTCCCACGTAATCTTCCCCGTCCAACATAGTCACGCAGATGATATCTTTGACCTCGATAAGGGGCAAGAAATCCAGGCATATTTGGATATCCAGAATCAACAAGGTAAAATTGATCTGCAAAATGAAAAAAAGGCTTACATAGTGTGACTGTAAATAAATTCGCAATAATTATTTGAAGTATAAGAATATACCTCCTCGTGGCATTGGAAAATTGTTTGAGCTCCTTGTGACAGCGTCAACAAATACTCGTGAATCATTAGCAGTACCTTCCCAACCAGAATACACAAA